GGCCTGGGACATTCCACATTTGAATTCTTTATGTTGATGTGTTTATGCCATGCAAGTTCTCTGACACCGGCCCATTGCCCCAGAAGCACATTGAGATTCTGGCTGCACTTTGATTCCAGCCCTGCTGGTTGTGGTACAGGCTTTGTTATCTATGACAGCAATCTTTCTTTCTCTGAGTGATCACAACGCCAATATCAACAAGACAGATCCAGTTCCTTTTATTATTTTGATTGCAAATTCCAGAATGTTCTAGTATTTGCCAAGTCTGGAAGATGGTTGGCATTGGGGCATGGAAAGAATACAAACATGAAGGTGTGCTAGACTGGCCCTTCTGGGCTGACGGAATATGATTAGGAGGTTCCATAAAACCTGGCTTACCAGCGGAGCTATCATTCTGTCTCAGATCCCGTCATTCTGTGTCTCCCGTTGACAGACTCTGGAGATACATTTATATTAGTTGGACAGGGTGTTCTGTCACCAGGGAAGGGACACTGTATTAGTCATCTACCACTCTAATAAGAACTAGTCTCTGCAGATTGTTGTTAAGACATGGAGACATGGAGATGGAGAGTCCTAGGCAGGAAGATTTGTCTGCTAGCAGCAAGGAAGGTAAAGAAGATTGAAGTCAGCCAGGCGTTGGTGGTGCACGCCTTTAATATCAGTACCTGGGAGGCAGAGGCAGGTGGATCTCTGTGAGTTCGAAGCTAGCCTGGTCTATAAAGCGAGTTCCAGGGCAGGCTCCAAAAAAATACAGAGAAACCTGTCTCGAAGAAGAAGAAGGAGGAGGAGAAGAAGAAGAGGAGGAGGAGGAGGAGGAGGAGGAGGAGGAGGAGGAGGAGGAAGAAGAAGAAGAAGAAGAAGAAGAAGAAGAAGAAGAAGAAGAAGAAGAAGAAGAAGAAGAAGGAAGTCCTATTCTTCAAATAGTGGGAAAAGGCACTGGCTGGATTAAGGAGGGACCTGGGGTAGTGGAGAGAGACACATCAGGAGCAGACAGTGTGCTGGCTAGTTTTATGTCAACTTGGCACAAAGTAGTCATCTGAGAGGAGGGAGCCTCAATTGAGAAAATGCCTCCATGATGAGGTCTGGCTGAATGCAGGTCTGTAAGTTGTTTTTTAAACTAGTGATTGATGGGGGAGGGCCTAGTCCACCGTGGGTGGAGCTAGTCCTGAGCTGGTGGTCCTGGGTTCTACAAGAAAGCAGAAAGGGGGCAGAAGGTGGGGGAGACTTGTTGACAAATTAGAAACTATCTTTTGCCATTATTTCCATTTTCCTCCTTTTAAGAAGTTAAACTTGGGGATGGAGAGATGGCTCAACAGTTAAGAGCACTTGTTCTTGCAGAGGATCCAAGTTCAACTCCCAGCACCCGCAGGATGACTCACTTACGATGATCTGACACTTTCTTCTGACCTCCACAGGCACCAGACAAGCAGGTGGTGTACAGTCATATATACATGCAGGCAAGACATTCACACACATTAAATAAACCTAAAACAAACAAACAAGCAAACTAGTCTTTCTCTATGGACTAGGTTTCACTGGCTCAACTGACAAGAAAGGGGGGCATGGAACTGGGTCTCTGGGCCCTTCACCCAGGCTAACAAGTGTCAATCATCTCACCAAGAGAGAAAAAAGAGCTCTTCCCAGCTCCCCTTGGCCACCTCCTGGTTCCGCCTCATGACATCCTTGTGCACCGTTCCACTAGGGCTCTGGTTTCATGTGAACCTGTTGTTCTGGGGGAAAAAAGGGTCCTGTTGAGATGGGAATGCCATTGTACTGAAGCACTGTGCCTGTGTGACTCGGGACACTGGCAACAGCAGGACAGTCCTGACTTGTGTGTTCTCGCTGAGCCAAGGACTGTTCTGGGGGTTTTCTATGCACTTCTCATTTCATCCTCATCCTCAAGAGCATCAAGAGGTCATCCCTAGACCAGTAGGGTCTCCACAGTTCAGTGAGATCACACAATTAATTGCAGGTGGGTCACCCTGCTGGAGTGAGGCAGAGCCAGGTCCAAATGCAGACTTGCTACTACTATTTGGAGTCCTTTGCCTGCTTCTAGATAGCCTTCTCTATGAGGATGCAACATGATTCCGTGGGGGACACTTCCAGGCAGGACAAGTGAGTTAACTCTGGAAGTCGTCACCTGTCTGCGGTTACATGGCTATCACAATGAGGAGGCCCAGCAATTCCCCAGAGTCCACTGCCTCATATCGTTGGCAGGGATTAAAAATACCACCAAGCCCATGGGGCTGCTATGAGGTGTAGATGAATAAATCCCCTTAAATAGCACAGTATCTGTCGAATAGTAAGTATTTAATAAAAGCCATTCTCTTACTTTACTTAGGACTGGAAAGCTCTTGTGCCAATGCCAGTTAGCAAAAATGAATGAACTGTACAGAATATATATATATATATATATGGAATCAGTATATCAAAGAAATATCTGCACTTGCATGCTTATTAGAGCCCTATTTACAAGATATGAATGTGATACGCTGAGTAGAATATTAGCTAGCCATGAAATAAAATTCTACTGTTTCTTGTATCTTCGAGGTTTGGATATTAAATAGAGTATGTCAGGGACCGAAGGACAAATGGTGAAACTCTGCATGCTTTCACTTAAATGTTGTCACATTAACTTTTCTGGGGGGAAATGTGAAAAAGTAGGACACCTGTGACAGATCAAAGTAACGATTGCAACCAACTCCAACTTAGTGAACCAATGAGTTTACTGGTTCATTTATAACAGGAACACAAGTGATGGGTGACTGACAGGAGCTTGGGTGATTCCAAAACAGCTTCATCACTCAAAGGTCCTACCTTATCGTGAGTGGCGGCCTCAGGGAAGCTGTACCAGGGAGTCCTGCCTTCAGTTAACCTTCCACTTCAAACACACATATATGTATGTATATATACATGCCTACATATGTGTATATGTACACACACAGAAACTCCCAAGATCATGTGACAATTTGGGGGTAGGGCAGGGCAGGGCAGCGGGGAGTTATGACTAGAATTCCAGGCTAAGGTCCTAAGGCACACCCCGCCCCCCCTGTTTTTACTAGGACATGTTAACAGTCCCCTTACTGTTACCGCAGACCTAGTTGTCACTGTATTGTTATGTGCCATGGCCACGACTAGAGAGAGGGTCAAAGTTATTTTTCCTACAAGATGGTCATGGGATGGTCGTGTTTTGGCTGGTGGAAAAACTGATACTATGACGTATGCAGAGGTTAAGAAGATGATCGTCCAGGAGCACAGAGGCCAGTTGTTCCCAGGGCCTGGGGAAGACACGAGGGAGGACCAGCTGTAGAGAGATGTTTGAGAACAGGTGCAGGGGTGCAGCAGGACAGCAGGGACAGCTTTCAGTTTTCTAGCAGCAGGCTAGGATAACCATGGACGACAACAGTCGATTGAAAAAAAAATAGAGAGGGTTTTAAATGTCCTCATTCCAAAAAAAAGTGTCTGAGGTGATGGATATGCACACTGTACCCCACAAATAGTACAGTTGTTACATGTGAATAAAACATACTTAAAAGTCTTGGGAAAGGGCTGGCAAGAAGACTCAGTGGGTAACTGTGCTTGCCTTGGAAGCTTGACTGGGTTTGCCCCTCAGAGCCCATAGAGAACAGATTCCCAAGTTTGTTTTCTGTGCTCACCTGTCTCTCTCTCTGTCTCTCTGTCTCTCTCTTTCTCTCTCAATATCAAGATGATGATAAAACAAAACCCTGAGTGAACCAGACAGCAGAGTTACCTCGTCTAAGAAGGGAACTGATGTTGATGGAGATGTGGACCTGGTGTTGTAGATTTTTCCAAATCTCCTTTTCAGGAATCTCATCCAAGATTTCACTATTTTTTCTTAATACAGAGGCAATTTATTAACAGAAATTGACCGTGGACCCTCTTCCCACAGATTCTGTCAGAGAATGGTGGCATTCTACAGGAAACAGAAGCTCTGAAGGCTGAGTGGGCCCCAGGTTCAGGGGTCTTGGTCTAGACTTTGAGACGCAGGGCAACGCTAGCCAGCCACGGTAGGGTTCATCGCTGGCAGCCTTCACCCTCATCCCAACAGTCGCTGGGCGGATGGTTTCTTTGGTAGAAATACCAGAGCCATGGGAAAGTTACTACCACCCAAGGATGCAGAGACATGGCAGACACCAAACCCATTTCCTTCCAGTAGCTTGTAAAGGTGGATTTGTTTTCCCGTCTTTTCCTTCTCTTTTCGAGTTGTCTGTTGTTTCATGACGCCGTTCCCAGAAATCAGAGCAAAGCTTTACCAGTTTGGAAAATGGCTAGGCCCTGTCTCAAAGTTGGAAAAAAATCTGGGGACGTAGCTCAGGGGTGGGACAGTTGCTTCGCATCTGCAGGGATCAGTTCAATTCCCGTTTAAAAAAAAAAAAAGGTACAGATCGCAGTCATTTTCTTCCCCCTCCTCCAAAACCTGCACTGCTTTTAGGGAGTCAGTCAGATCTGGCGTCGTAAGGCTGTCCTCAGCATCGGTCTCTGCATCTCTCTGCTTGCCAAGTGGCGATCCATCCCATTTTCTCCAGGTCCCAAGTCCTGTACGTGCCCGGCTCCCATTTTAAGGACCGGTCTGCCAAACTCACAGCGGTGTGTGTGTGTGTGTGTGTGTGTGTGTGTGTGTGTGTGTGTGTGTGTGTGTAGAGAGAGAGAGAGAGAGACAGACAGAGAGAGACAGAGAGAGAGACAGAAAGACAGAGAATGAGAGACACACAGAGAGAGACAGAGAATGAGAGAGACAGAGAGACAGAGAGAGAGAGAGAGAGAGAGAGAGAGAGAGAGAGAGAGAGAGAGAGAGAGAGAGAGAGAGAGAGAGAGAGAGAGAGAGAGAGAGAGAGAGAGAGAGAGACCCTATCCCAGGGCGCGCTAAACCAAGGAGTGACTCTGCAGGGGCGGAATTTTGGGCGTCGGAAGCGTGTGGCGGCGGGGTCCCCTGGAGGACGGTGTCACCAGCAGGTGGCGCGCTAGCCGCAAGTCCCGCGCCGTTCCCGAGCCGAAACTTGAACAAGACGTTAGTGCGGGTGTTGGAGACAGCGGTTCCCGGAGCCACGCTGTTGGCTCCCGCGGGAAAGTGGCAAGAGAAAGGAGCGGACACCCTGACGGGTGTGACTCTACGACTTGGACACCGTGAGCTTCCTTCGGAAAGGCTTCGCCTGTGGGTGAGTACCCTTCAGCGGTCGGGAAGCCGATTCCCTTGCTTGTCAGGCGTTGGCCTTGGTTTGCACCGCGTGGCATTTTGGCTCTCGAGGACCGTCGTTTCTGGACGGAGGCTGCGGGGACAGAAGCGGGGTACGCACGAAAGCCCGGGAAAGCGGGCGCGCTGGAACCCGCGCTCACTGGAGGACGTGCGCGCGTCCCCGCCGCCAGATGGCGCTGCGCGGCTTGCTCCGGGCCGGCCGCCAGTCACTCCGGGTTCCCGCCGCGGCGGCGGCCGCTCTAGCCGGCCGGCCCTGCTCTGTGGTTCCGGGCGGAAGTGAGGCGCAGAGCGGAACGGCCTCTGGTGACATTTTCTTGGGGCGGCGCGGACGACTGAAGGGAATTGGTGTTGGAGGCTGCGGAGGCGGCGAGCTTTACTCTGCCTCCCCCCTCCCGTGCCGGGGCTCCCGCCGCGCTCCTCGGCTCGCTGCTGGGAGTTGTCTGAGGAGAAGGGGGCGGCGGGGCCGCCGCGGCCCGAGTCTGCGGCCCGTCAGCGTCGCCCGCGGTGGGCGCGTGCCCCGTCGGGGCGCGCGGGGCCGCCTAGGAGGCACGGCCGGCGGAGCGCAGGTGAGGCACGGAGGAGGGGCGCGGGGGTAGCGGCCTCGGCTGCGGGGCGAGCCGCGGGGCAGGGGCTCTGCGTCCCGGGGAGACGCTTGCCTGCGAGGCTGAGGGCGAACGGGCCGGGCTGAGGGCTCCGCGGCGTCCGAGCGTGGGGTCACGACGGCGGAGGCGCGGCCCGGACCCCTCCGCTCGCCCCGCCGCGGGTGACCCTCGCGTCCTCTATCCGCCCAAGTGCCCTCCCCAGGCCGCTGGCACCGAGGGGATCGGCGGGCTGGAGGGACCGCAGCCCTCAGGCCGCAGAGTTGTGTTGGAGCAACTTTCCGGAGCCCGGCCCGGGCGAGCAGCTGAGGCACCCGGGGCTGGCGGGGACACCTGCCCGAGCCTAGGAGAGCCCCCCTCCGGCGGTGGCCTTGGAGGAGAGAGAAAGGGCTTCCTGGGCTCGGTACCGGCCTCTCGCCGCTTCCTCGACTGTCGGTCCACAGAGAGTGCCTGGGTCTCCGACATTGACCTGCGACTTGGTCAACTTGAGTTGAAGGCCAGCGCAGATGTAATCTGACGACCCCCGGATGAAGGACTGTCACCTCCCCCGGTTTCTCAGAGTATCTCCCCCCAGTATAGTTCCTCACCGTGTATCTTAAAGCACTTATTTTTGTAGTATATTGTTTTTTGTTTGTTTTTTATGGAGCAGCCCCCTGTCAGATTGGTATGCCATTCATTCTCACCTTTAAATTACCCCGTCTTTCTCACAAAATAGAGGCTCACAGGTTGAAGGAAAGAGCCCATGCAGCCCTTCCAGATCCTTCACCGACTGCTTGGGCAGTTTGTGCTTGCAGTTCTGCGTTTGCGCGTTTGATTGTGAGCCTTTGCATCCTTTTGGTTGAAAGTCCCAGTGATGATGCTTGGTAAAGTTAGGTCACTTGATTATGAATGCATCCGACCGGTTGCTTAGGTTCGCACTGTGTAGTGTTGTTAGGTGCGTGCTCACGGTTTGAATCACTCTCTTTACCCTCTTGGCGTATCTTAAGGGTGGAGGCTATTAACTTTGTAATGTAGTTTTGCTGATTCCGGCGATATGGATTTCTCTTGTGATCAGAGCCTTGCCTTTTGGTTTAACTAGCAGTTTAGGTGATGTGTATCTTCTGCTATCTTTTTTTTTTCTTTTTTGGAGGACCATATTAATATGCTACTACAATGTTAAGTAGAGTGCGTTGTCCATAGTAGATTGTTGATAACTAATTACTAATTAAATTTGAATTTAGGAAGCCAAGATGAACTTGACTTCAGTGACCTACATGCTACTTTAAAAAAAGAATTTGACTGAAATTTTAATCCATTTCTCTTACATGAGAAAGAAAAGTACTTTTAACATACAAATTGACTTTCTTTTTTATTTTTTTTAAAGATTTACTTATTTATTATGTATACAGTGTTCTGCCTGCATGTATTCCTGCAGGTCAGAAGAGGGCACCAGATCTCATTACAGATGGTTGTGGGTTACTATATGGTTGCTGGGAATCGAACTCAGGACCTCTGCAAGAGCAGCAAGTGTTCTTAACCTCTGAGCCATTGACTTTCTTTAGAGTGCTTCTCAGTAATGCTTGTCTTTTGGTTTGTTTAGATTTTGTGTAGCTCTGAGTGTTCTGGAACTAGCTTTGTATACTCGGTTGACCCTGAACTCAGAGATCTGTCTGCCTCTGCCTCCCAAGTGTTGGGATTAAAAGCAAGTGCCACCACGACTGGCTGTGTAATGTTTACTAATTTAAGCCCTACTTAGTAAAGATAAGTTTAACTTTGACTTTCAAATATAATGCAGTTCTGCTGGAGCTCTGGGTTCAGTGTATAGCCTTTAAAGACTTTGCTCATAATATTTGTCTTGGCATTGACACTTATGAATTTCTTTATATTCACATTTCTGGTATTAGTATTTTAAATCCCTTTCCTGAGCCCAGGTGTGATGGCTTATGCTTGTAATCCAAACTGAGGCAAGAATATTGCTTTGAGTTCAAGGCCAACATGGGAGACATAGTGAGATTCAGGACTACCTAGGTTAGACGTGGGACTGAACTTCAAAAATAAATCTGTTTACTACATAACTAATAATTCCTGTGAACTTGTGTAGTTACTCATTACTCAAGAAGTTGTTTTGCTAGAGTCCTTATTCTTGCAGTTTTACTCCAACATGTGCATGAGTAGACAGGAGGGATATATAGTTTGGGTGTTTTTCTCCTTTTTAAAACTTGGATATAGTGGCAACCCAAACCTTAATTTGGTGACTTTAATAATAATTATCTTAGACTTTCACTTTCTTGCATGTAACTAGGTGTATGCTTGAAACTCTGCCAAAGGCTAAAAATAAATGGTTAGTGTATTCTCTTGAAGCATTCTGATTTTAGTGTTTTCATTTTGTTTTTTTTTTTTTTTGGGACAAGATTTCTTTATATAGTTGTGGCTGGTCTGAAATTCACTATGTAGACAGCAGACTGGCTTCTAATTCAGATCTGGATCTACCTGCCTCTGCCTCTGACCATACCAGTGATTTTAATATATTACTTTAAGAAAGATTTGAGGTCCAAATTTTTCTTTGTTAACTATAATTATGTAGGCAAAATGAAATAGACATAATAGACATAACAACATGAATAAAATGGTGATACCTACAAGAGATATGGAGAAAGAAGACAAAATATTCATGTGGGACTCTGTGTGTGTGTGTGTGTCTGCCTGTCTTGGAGTCTACTATGTATTATGTAACTCACAGAGATCCCACCTGCTTCTGCCTCACCAGTGCTGGGATTATAGTTACATACTACCACACCCTGGCCTGATGTGGCACCTCTTTATCCTTAGCCCTAAGCTATTGATGGTTAATGCTTGCCAGCAGATCCATAGAGCCATGATGAAGCATGCTCAAGAAACTTCAACTTTTGTACTTAAGGTTTGAGGTGAGTTTCCAGACAAGCAAGCACTCCCTGAAAGGGACCAGCCTAAGTGAAATCATGATTATCAAATTCTGAGTTGCTCAGTGCTGCCAGAGCCTTGAGCTTTTAGAGGGGTGGCTGTAGTAGATAGAGACAGGGCCAAGTTGTGAGGATTTCTTCGTTTGCTGATGTGTTGTGATTTTTTTTTTTAAGATGGCTCTTCTTGCCTCAGTTGGAATGAAAATTCAACTAAAGACAGAGTTGGACTGGAATTTGTGATCCCCTACTTATCGTCCAGAGTGTGGGAATTACTGGTGGGGTTTCTTTAGTTTATTTTTTCTTTCCATTTATTTGTGTGTGCCAGGTTGCACATGTGGAGAGCAGGGGCATCTTGCAGCAGTTGGTTGTCTTACCCTGTTGGTTGGTTCCAGGGATGAAATTCTTCAGGTTTGGTACCAAGTTCCTTTACCCAGTGAGCCATCTTACTAGCCTAGAGAGTCTTTGGTTTTGTTTATTTTTAGTTTCCCACCCCCCAGTGCTGGGGCTTGAACCCAGGATTTTGTATATGCTAGGAAAGCACTCTGTCACAGAGCTCTCACAGCCCTGCTCTTATTAAACTACGTCATCCTTGATCATCTGGCTAAAGACATTAGTTTTGTTTGTTTGTTCCTTTTCAAGACACAGCTTTTCTGTGTAGCTTTGGAGCCTGTCCTGGAACTGGCCCTCTAGAGGTCAGGCTGGCTTTGAACTCACAGAGATCCACTCTGCTTCTTGAGTGTTGGGACCAAAGGCATGCAGGACTAAAGGTGTGTGCCACCACCATCCAGCAGAAATTGGATACTACTATTTTTTTATTTAAAAACATTTTTAGCTATTTACTTGTGTGTGTGTGTGTGTGTGTGTGTGTGTGTTTGTGCACATGTGTGTGAGCCTGCCTGCCAAGTGTGGAAGTAAGAGAACAACTTGTAGGAATCCATTCTCTCCTTCTACCATGTGGGTTCCTGGATCATACTCAGGTTGTCAGGTTTGGTTGCTGTATTAGTCACTGTTCTATTGCTGTGAAGAGGCATCATGACGAAGGCAGTTTACAGAAGAAAGCAGCATTTAAATGTAGACTTGCTTACAGTTTCAGAGGGTGAGTCCATGTTCATCGTAGTGGACATCAAGGTGGAAGGCAGGCGGGTGGGCTCTGGAGCAGTGGCTATGAGCTTCAGTCCTGATTCACAAGCAGGAGACAGAGAGGGGACTGGGTAGATTGAGAATGGACCTGATCTGGGCTTTTGAGACTTCAAAGCCCACTCCCAGTGACACACCTCCTCCACAAGGCCAAAGGCCCTAATCCTTCCTCAAACAGTTCTACCAACTAGGGACCAAGCAAGCATTCAGATACCAGAACCTCTGGGGTCAAACAGTTCTACCAACTAGGGACCAAGCAAGCATTCAGATACCAGAACCTCTGGGGTCGTTCCCATTCAGACTGCCAC